ATCGGTAAGTTTGATATAGAAATTTTGTTATGTTAGTTCTAGAAAATATACGTTGTTGAATTATACAAAAAACGTCAAAATAGAAATTGTTTTATTTAGAATCAAAATCTTACATACGTACATTAAAATAATAATACATGCCATACACTAATTTTACTCTAATGCCATGTTTAGCTAGTTGAAATACAAATCCGCATTCGATAAATGATTGTTTTATATATTATTTTAGGACTTATTTTCTGTATTAGGGTAGAGCGGAGTTTGAAGGTCCGCGGGTAAAAAGGTCCGCCACCAATATCTCAGAAACAAGTAAAGTATGATAATTTTTAAAGATACTATTTTGAAAGTAAAGGGCAAAAGTTGTGTAACTTATTCTGTAAAGTATTTTATTCGTCGTTGGTGTTTTTTAATTTACAATACCTGAATATAATTTTCAATTATACGGTATTTCATTCTATTGTTAAGGTGTATTATTATTTTTAAGTTAGATTGAATAGTTTTCTTTATACAGCCTACATGCGGCTGTGTGAAAAAAAACTATCTTATTCTTTGCGCTGGCACGGTGTAAACAATGATAAAATTGTAAATTAAAAGATTGAAATAAGTTTAAAAAATTAATTTTATAAAAAACAGATGACAAATTGAATAAAAATAGCAGAAAAAACATACTTATATAATGATAAATTAGGTGAGAATTTTTCTGAACATAGTTCGATTGTTGTGTTATTTGATGTGATATGGTTGTGATGTAGTTGGTTTGTTATAGTATAATTACTAGAAATTAAATTGGACCTTTGTACCCTGCCCTACCTTTTATAATCTATTTTACTATATACTATGCAGATCACTTGAACCAAAACCCAGAGTAAAGGGATCAATGAATTCGAAATTTTTACATATTTACGTAAAATCGGATATTTTTACATTTATAACGAAAAAGTATAGATGATGACGATTATAATTATCACATCAACGCATGAACTCAACCTATAACTAAATTATTAATATTCCGATTTTATCGTAAAAATCAATTAAAAACGAATTGATCGCATTTTTTAAAAGTCGTGTTTCTCGACAAAGTCAGAACCTTAAAAAGCTATTATTTAAATTATAAAGTTCGTCGTACTTTTAATCTAAATTGATTTAAGAGATCTGCGTTTATAAATTATACTATTATTGTCAATGCGCTATCAACTATTACACTTACACCACTTGACTATGCCTTATTTAATATAATTGTTCATATTTTTATTCGACGTTTACAAAATCTCTTTGAAGAGCATGTTTCGTCGATAAAGTTTATTTGAAGCGCTTTCATACATTGAGATCAATTAGCACGGAACAAAAGGCAGGTTGATTGTATCGTACGAAGCGCTCCCGTACGATGATCGTAAATAAGAAATCGTAAGTACGAGTTTTATCGTTTGACTAGAAAAAAAAATAAATGCATCGTGCAAAATCGTGACTGATAAGCTAAATATTCTAAAGATCACACACTTAACGATGATGTTTGACATCGAATTTAATTTGTTTCTGAATAATAATGGGCTGTGATAAAAACTAAAATGACCGTTGTGGGTGCGCCACTTTACAATTGCAAAACTTGTATTTTACTGTATTACCCAGGAAATCACAAAAGTTACATCCACGTAGCGCAGAAAAAACTTCATCACGAACTAATTGCGTTAATAAAACGTGTCAACGTTACGCTAGTGAAAGCTAACTTCATAATTCATAATTCATAATCTATAAATCTATAATTAGTTTTATAACTTGGTCAGAATGTAAGTATAAACCAGACATGAGTACAACCTTATTGTTAAATTTTGTATTAATTTGATTAATATTTTTTGTATTGGGATCAATGTGTACTAAACTTTTACTAACAAATTAAGCCCGGTGCACACGACACCAGTATTTCTTGTAACATATTTTCTGTCAAGCTTTTATCGTAAGGTAAGCGTATTCAACGTAAAATATAATTGTAGTAATTTATTATTATTATTATTTTATTTAATTCTTATAAATAGAAATTATCCTAATACATATGTTTCATGTTTACATTCCAATAAAATAATTTCTATCTATACGCTCACCTTACGATGAGAACTTTACAGAAAATATGTTGCAAGAAGTACTCGAATCGTGTGCACCAGGCCTTATACATGTTTAACATTATGTAATTTTTTAACTTTGAGCTGTATATTGTGTAAATTTTATATACTAAATGATAATATTTAAAAATATAACTAGATAATGATATAATTATACTAATTACTACTCATATCCAAACTAGTTTTTATTTTTAAAACATGATTCAATTTTTATGCAACATAAAAGATACATCCTCGTTTAGGTGGTAACTTGAAAACGTAGTAAAAACAAAACCGTAACTTGTTTGCGCTACGAAACAAAATTTTTCACTATTTCCCGCTGAAATAGTTACGTCCGTGTTACTTAGCCGCTACGTTTAAACATTATAAATGCTACAATATATTAACGATTTTATTACGTCTTGTAATTTACTGGGTACATTTCACATTGCTTGTTGCATAAATTGTTATGACAATAACGCACCAATAAATATAATTTATAATTCTTGATATGTTAAAATGTTATCTGACCTGAAAAGGTTTTAAATTTAAAAAACCAAACAATAATTAGAAAAGTTTGATAAATATTTATAATCAGTGTTAACAACTCGCTTACAGTAAGATGAGAAAGCAAGAACAATAGATGTCGACGCAAACTCGATCTTACGTAGCTAATTTGTAAAAAACTTATCAAATTATTACATTTTAGCATATCTGTTATAAGTCATTTCATAAATGATACTTTGACACCTCCAAATTGCAAATTTGGATTTAAATGATATTCTTCATCATTTTATCAACAAGTACATTTGAAAAAATACAGTACTGTTACTTGAAACATGTCGATCGTACATAATTTGACGGCGTTTAGATTATTAGAATCAATTTAGATTATTAAAATTAATATTACAATATAATATTTATACTTTAATTATTCGCCGTAATAATCTATTCGCGTATTAAAAAAGGTCTTAAGAAAAATTACATGCCAGGCGGATATATATCGGGATTATATTTCCCTAATCAAGCGAATACATTGAATAAAACATCGCCAAAAATTATAGCTTAAATATTGTATATTTAGGTGACTTAACAAAATTCAAGTAAACTTCAATTTTAATTCACAATACGTCGTATTGAAACGAATAACGAATGAAAAAAATAATCAGAGGCTATCACATCACATAAATACTTAAAATACTAGAATTAATAATTGATATGTATATACATATGATAATAAATAAATATTTTGATTTCTTAATCTGCATTTCTCTAAAATATAGTTTTATTGTAATATTTAATAAAAAATGTCGTTCACAAAATTCAAAGAAAGCATATAAAATCATTTTAAATCATGAGCTAACCGCTAACCAATATATTTATCTCTTATTATTATTATTATTGTCATTTTATTTTCAAGAATCATATGCAAAAGGTTTTTTCGTTCACCTTCTAAGCGGATAAATTTTCTTGAAATATATGTTTCATAATATTTCTCTAATTTTGTCTATTATAATTAATTCGTAATTCTCATTATCCTTACTTGTTTTTCAATTAAGCATTATTTTTAATTATTGTCATGCTAATTGTAAATCTGCTCACACTTTTGAGCAAATATCTATTTGTTTCGTTCACTAACTGAACTTTATTGTCGTGACAACATGGTCCATATGCTTGCCCGTCTATCAAAAATATTATGTGATCAAAGTAAGCTACCTACACGTGTCAATCCAAAAAAGTTTCTTCAAATATTATTATTATTTTTAAAGCTACAAGTCTCAAAAAAGCTTTTTAAGATACGACTGGTAGGTCTAAGAAAATGATAGACAAGAGTACATACGGACGACGTCGACCTAATTCTTAAAAATAGTTCGCCTTATATTAAAAAATATAATATAAATTGATATTGTAAGTTTTAATGAAATTGCATTGGGTATTAGAAGCCAGCAATATTTTTAAGAAAAACAATAGCGGGTTATATTTTTTACCTTCAACAATTTGATATGCCTCATAACTAATTACTGTTTCTGTGAAAACTCCTGTCCACTTGAAATTCTTGATAACACAGTATTTTTGATAGTTTTCGATAATTGATACTAATTACGATGCTTTGTGCTTAGATATGTCATTTGAAATCATTGGACTCTGGTTATCACTAACTTTAGTCAATTTTGAATCTAAATAAGACACCAATATACATTTTTCTACACGCTGATGTTTCCACAAAAACTTTTGCTCAGTATTATCATCATCGCTAAAATTTGATGTATGTTCAAAAATGTATATTAATATCTTTGTTGTATACTTAATTAATTTACAAAAAAAAAATCATGGTATCTTAATCGTATTTTTAATCCAAATCGGTTCGATTAATCTTTCCGCGCAAGAATTAAAAACAAACATATATTTATTTAAAGAATGATCAGAAAGAAAAATATGAAACATAATAGTTTATAAAATCAGGTATCATATAATGATATAGTTTTGAAAAGTTAATATTTATTTAGGATTTATTATTTTGCTTGAATTTTAACGACAACACTTATTCATATGCATATCGCGTATAAAAGTATTGAGGCAAGAGTTCCGAATTGTCGTTATCAGCTTCTGTATATAAGTTGCATTTGTTCTTATTTTGAAATTTCACTAGTATGTTTTTAAGTTTATTTTATAAAAAAATAATGAAATTTTAGCTAGGCTCAATATATTTAGTAATTAACGCTATTGCATAGAGTAATTTACGTTTGGTGTACTATTAGAAATTTCGCAATAGGCACATTATTTGTGTCATTCTAATAAAAAATTTATAATAATTAAGAAATGTATAATATATTTCATATACTACACAGCTACAAATGTTATTGTCATATCACCAATATGGTGAACTTTACCGTAAATTATTGTCGATTAAGCGCATTTAATATCCATTTCATCCAAATCTGTTCCCTTAGTTTCTGGAACGCACATAACTATAAATCCTAAACCACCGCAGGACAACGACGAGTACAACCAAAAAGTACCATGTAAACCTAGCCATTGTCTGATGTCTACAAACGTTTTAACTCCTAAAAATGCGCACAAATAGCTAAACGAAGCAGCTAGAGAACTACCTAAGCCCCTATGTTCTAACGGAAACAATTCGCCTATAAGCAACCAGGAAATCGGTCCGATACCTAACGAGAAAGCAACAGTAAATACCAGTACGCATAGCAAAGGTATCCAATCGTATTGTTCAATATTTTGATGTTTATGAATTTCTTCATAATACGAAAAGGAACCGAAACTGGCCAGCGAGATGGACATGAAGATACTACTAGCCATGAGCAAAGGCAATCTACCAATATTGTCCACGAGTAGGCCCGATAAAAGAGAAGCAAGTAATTGGACGAAGGCTACAGCAATGGCTCCTCGATGAGGGTCCATCCCGTTGAACGTCTGGCGGAAAATTGTTACGGTGTAAAAATTGAATGCGTTTGCACCACTAAATCTTTGGAAGAACATGAGTCCGCATGTAATAAATGCAGGTTTGAGTATATGTGTCGAGAAGGAATGGTTGGTCACGCCACGTAGTACATTTAGCCGAATCGTTGCGAGTTCCGATCGCACGTCGCAGTGGGCCCCACGGAGCCATTGTAAAGCCTGACGTGCGTCTTCGTCTCGGCCTGCCAACATCAGGTAACTTGGAGTTTCTGGAACGTAAAGTGTTGTCACAAATAACATTATTGGTGCCACGGCGACTATTGTCGCCAATTGCCGCCAGTCCAAGTATGCACCGGCCGAGAAACTGATCAACATTCCCATTTGCCCCGAGATCTTCAGAAGGGCACTGAGACATCCCCTAATGTCCGGAGCAGATATTTCTATTATATACACCTGTAAAAGACATATGCAATCATATCAGTATTATGAATCTCGATTGATTGAGGAGTTATGACTCAATTACCTGCGTAACCATAGACACAATGGAACAACATAAACCAGCAACAAATGCACTAACAAACATCATTTCCACAGACGAAGCCAAAACTGTCAACATCCAGGCAACGGAGTATGGAAGAGATGTTACGATTATAACACGTTTTCGACCAAATCGCATTGCCATTCCGCCGAATATCCCTCCAAATAGTGCTCCTGAAATAAAAAAAAATGGAAATTGTATTTATGGACAAAAAAAATGTTTTTGCGTGATAGCAACTTAAGCAAAACTTCACCTAGAAGTGACAAACTGGCTATCCAACTGGCCTGCTGTTCTGTGACAATAAAAGTAGCAGCACTTGCATTGAAAACTGCTCTCACCTGCAGCTGCTGCAGCGAAGCAATCGCGGGCGAGGTGTAGCCCTTGCCTAATCCTGCGGCAAATGGTCCGAGAGACACTGCTAGAGTAGCCAGGACCTGATAAATTAGTCAGATAGAAAATGTATAATAAATATTGTGTCAAAATATTTATTGTTTTTATTTCGAGAATTTAGATGTTGAAAAATATCAAGAATATATTTCAACATCAAAAAAATCACATTTACATTCGTAAAAGGTCGGCGATGAATTTAGGATGACTTCCTAAATGAATAAAAAAACACACACATCGGTCTTTCATGTTTTTTCCTATTAGAATTATCTGCAGACTACCATTTATAACGTATTAAATATTCTCTGCATTTACGTAATTCAAATAACATTAGAAACATTAAGCCGTGTCAAATAAATGGGCGAGAACCTGATATGAAATTGAATTCGTCCTTAAACGTCTTGTCCATCTTTCGCAAAATCCTCCTATTTAACTTTCACATAGAAATGAAACAATTTTATATTTATGGCTTCGACGCCATTAATCGGCTAAGAATAAAATCGATAGTAATTACAAAAAACTTTACCGATACCGACGACAATAATTGCGTGACTTTACTAAATTTAGGGCATTGATGCAAAGGTGTTTTGTTATATATATATTAATTATATATATATATATATATATATATATATAATTATAATTAATATATATATAACAAAACACCTTTGCATCAATGCCCTAAATTTAGTAAAGTCACGCAATTATTGTCGTCGGTATGTTCAATGATGTATGAACAAAGTCAATTTGTTTTCAGAATAACTATTTTCAGAAATATTCAAAATTTTCACAACTTAAAAAGAGTATTTCTAAAAAATATGGAAAATGATTCAGGTTTTACTAAAATTTTGAACAATCAGTCAGATAATGATTCATTCAAATCAAAAATTTCGTATAATTAAGGGGGTCTTCCTACGTGATGAGTTGAAAAAATTGAATTTTTTTTTATTTCATATTTCGGTAGATTATACCTTTAAAAATAACATATTAAAATTTCAAATCGATATCTCAAATAGTTTTTGAGTTACAGCCATTTAAATGTATACATATAGTATTTAGTACAACGATCATTTTATCTTTAAACGCGTTTTTCTCAAAACTGTGTTTTTCAAACTTGTCTCCATTGTATCTCAGAAACGGCTGGACCGAATTACTTGAAATTTACAGGGCACATTCAGTAAATTTAAACGCATGGAATGAACTATTATCAAATCAAATTTCAAAACTTCGATTTTTTATAGCAAAAAAAAAAACCGCCTAATTTGCAACTTTTATTTCAAATGTCTATAAAACATCCAATTTTTTTTGTATTCATTTGATTGTAGTTCATTCCGTGCTTTTAAGCCTACAAATTAAAACGCCGTTTATTTTTTTTTGGTCAGATAAGCCGATCAGCCGGAATCGTGGAGACAGTAGGAGCTCTTTTTTTTTAGGGGGGGGGGGGGTGTTTAGAGCGCTGTAACTCTAGTTGGACTAAATTTTTTTAGCTGAAATTTTATATTTATACTGTCCAAATATGTATTAATAAATGATAAACTTGAAGCCCTAACTATTTACTGGTCGTAGAAAAAAAAATCTAAAATATCCCTAAAAAACAGGCCGTCACATAGGAAGACCTCCTTAAAATAAATAATGTGTTATCATTTATATGTGTTTTGTGCGATAAAGTCGTCGTAATATAAAAGATGAAGGATAAAGCTTCTAGTATTCATAACAACCTATTTGAAAATATTTAATACAATTGATTGACTATTTTTATACCTAGAATATTTAATTAACTTATGAAAAAAGTTAAATAAAATTTTATACAAAACTTAAGAATGAAAAAATATTGATAAAAAAATATAAGATATATAAAATAAGCAAAAAATATATTTCTTAATTACGTTAAGTCAGTAATTTTGATTAAAAAAAAGTTTTATGTCAAATGACCTGTTTTGAACTTTAAATTGGAATGTCATCTATAATTTTATTGTTTTTAAAAATTGAACGTTCGGAACTTCTCGTATTAATTAAATTACTATATAGTACTACATTGTTGAAATAATTTTCTTTGTTGTTAATCTTGAATAATATTTAATGTATTCCGTTATCTACCACGCCGGATCATTCGACCCAGAGAAAATTCTTTTATTTTATAAGCTATTATTCTACTTTATTTCAGCAAAGACCGTTGTAAAAAGTAGTTCAATCAAAAAGGTCGAGAATAATTTATGAAAAATATCAAAATTTTAAACAGGACAAAGCTTCCAGGCAAATTTTATTTGAAAACATACGATTTTTTTTGAAACGTAATGCTTTACCCAAAAAATGTCGAGCAAAACAAATCAGTACAAGCTTTTTGAAGATATAAATAATATTATAAAATTAAAGTTAGTACGTATTGCATTTTCAGTGATAATTGATGATCTTATTATGAACCATATAAGAACATGCGCAGTAAGAAGTGACTGTTAGTATTCGAAGAGAGTACTAGAATACGATTGGAATTATTCCGAGAAAAAATAAATGTATTTCTTGCAATTTTATATATGAGCTTAACTAGCTATAAAACAACATTTGAGGGCCTATTTTTTATAAAACTATAAGCAGAAACAAATTCAACGATATTCCTAGTTTTATGTGATTTGAAAACCGGCTAATTTGCTATCATTTTGTAATTTTTGTCAAAATTGTTACTACACTTGTGGTTATGTTGCTGTGACGACCAGCTATTTTCTGATGTAAATTGGAATTATTCGGTTGAATAAAAAGAAATTAACTAATTACGAAGCAATAAAATGATGATATGGAACGACTTTCATCGTTAATTTTTACTTTAGGTAATTGCTCTCTTACAATATAAAATATAAAGCCAATATGAAAAAAAATTCATCTTACAATGTAGACTTAGCGAGTCGAGAAAATTTGCTACATATTGTAAGTGTTGCCTTGGCCTTTCCAAGTTTTTTTTTTCAATATCCTTGTTTTAGCTCGCACAAACGTCTCGAATTTGTACAATCAAAGCTAAATGTCTCGAATTTGTTCTGAATAGCTTTTTCTGCAATAGCAATAGGCGCCTATTTTCGAGAAAACCGCGTACAATCAGAAGAATAAAAAACAAATACAAAATAATTATTGTCCAAGTCTAATACAGATGCTTGTCTCCATAAGAGGTTTTAAATTGAATACTGTAGAAAAAAATAATACCATCAACATTTGCTCTAAATAGTGAAAATGCATAAAATGTGCGTGCGGATTATGTACATTGAACTCACTTAGATATAAAAATGTGATGCGCAATAACTTAAAAACCCGTATTTGTCACTTTTATGAAAGAAAATACGTTCATTAATTATAATGAATTGAATTTTCAGATTTATTTCCAATGTAACTTCCATATTTCATACACTCAAGCAAGATTTATCGTATCCTTAAATAGTATTTGTTACTTTGAATCATATTTAAGTTATTTGTGCATGAAGAACATCCAGGGCTTGGCACAACTAAAAGTGAGCGTCCCGGTTTTTACCTAAAAGATTATGGTCACTCACTTGTGACTCACTTTACTTAAGGCACAATGCCACGCACCACTAGTGATACATACAGTTGAACCAAATGAAAAATTTGGTTTTGTCTTGATAATTGTTAGATTTATACACAATATGAAATATATTCGAGAATAATATTCACCTGGGTGACATACTGGGTCTTACTCGGCGCCTCGTTGTAGTGGATGACGGATTTACTCAGCATTTTCATTGCGTGGCAATAGGCCGTTATCTGAAATAACAATAAATTACAAATCTGTAAGATTAAAATGTATGACAAAAGAAGTTTATAGCAAAAGTTTGGAGTCTCGACCATTTGTTAAATAAACAAGAATGGAAACCAAACACACATTCACATACTTTTTCATCATTCGAAAATAGTTACTTCCAAAAAAATATTCTTACAAAAACAAGACACCATTGATATCCTTCAACATAATATTCTTATTAGATTGTCTATGCAAGGTAAAAATTAATTAATTTTTTTAAAAATATGAGTTATGACTTAATCCGTTTAACGCAAAGGACTTCTTAAAACTGATTCTGTTTCATAAGATAAACTGCTTAAAAAACTTTTGCAATAAATGCGGATGCAAAAACTGCATAATTGAAATTTCAAGAATTCTAAATAATTAAACACTACGAACATTATTAATAACATTAAACAATCAATATTTTATATACAGCGGAAACAATTACGAATCGTAAATCTTGTGCGGAAGTTTTTAATATTTGTTTAAATTCTTTTTATGTTGATGAATAAATACTTAAGTTATCAGAGAAATATTTATATTTCTATAAGATCAGAATATTTACATTAAATATTGTAATATTTATTTAGATTAAATATAACATACCTGTGGAAATATATATTCAAGAAGTTCTGCATCATGGCACTGTCGGTTTCACTTAATATTCGGAATTTTGGCGTAGGTTGTCATTAAATCCATTGGTTTAAAAAAGATTTATTTTCATTATAATTTTTTTTATTGTCATTAAAAATTATCTGCAAGTAGAGAAACAATATATATCAGTTTGTCGTCATTTATCGATATACGGATAATGGAAAAATAGTTTCAATAAAAAAAAAAAATCTTCTGCCAGTTTATCGTAAAATGCCCTGTAGATAGTTTTTTCTTGGCCACCCTGAAGACTGTTTTATATATCTTTTCAGTCAATCTTTATTTTTTAAAGAAGTGCATATAAACAACACATATAACCCTAAATTTTCACCCTCTTACTACAAACTCCTATTTCATAAAAATTATTACTGTAATTACATCATTTTTCATCTCGGTTTCTGTCAGTTAACGTTTTTGACAAAGTTTTTATAATGGTTTTTTTAAGCCCATGAAAAAGCTCAATTATACATTAGAAAAATTATTTCTTCAAATAATTCCAAATGTCCAAATAATTCATAATGTAAAAATCTAACACTTATTTTTTAATGTATTGGATGAATTTTATTACTTTTGTTTTTAAATGAGAGATTGAAAAATACATGCATGCAACCCTAAACATTTCTTTCACATTCCTACCACACTTCGATAACTGGTCAATTATCTTTTTGTGGACGTTTTTCTCTGAGTTTCGATTCAGATTTCTAAAAGTTACCGAAAAACTTTAAATTTTTTACATTACAATTGCTGAGAGTCAAAAAAATATATTGAGGTTCTAAATGGAATATTTTATATTGAGATGCTGAATAGAACATTTTACTCGAAGATGCATCTAATACAACTTAATAATCAATGACAAAAGGTACGTGCGCTATTTTACATCATAACTCGGTATAACAGAATAGTTATAACACAGCAAGGCGTGATCAGACACAGCTAGTATAATTATAAAACTAGTGGGGCGCATGGCATCGTGCCAAGGCAAATTGCTGGAAGTTTCCGTACCAAAAATTATTTTTTTAAAAAGATTACCATTGTTGAAAAAAATTTACTTCGAACAAATTAGATTTTTGAAAAACTATAAATTTGACAAAAAATTACTTTTTTTTGAAAAAAATTTTTTTTTGAAAAAAAAAAGTTTTCTTTATTTTGACATATTTTGGAAATTCTGAACTTTTTTCAAAGCAATCGTACTGCTTTAACTACATAGAGACGAAATGTCAAAGCGCGTAAGCGACGAATCGCCGTCTAACGGAAAAACATTGGTACGGAACCCATAGGAATGTAAACAAAATTTACACTTATTGTTAAAATCTCTGTAAAATATCTGATAATTTGATGTGCACATGTTTAATGATCATTTTTGACAGCCAAATGGCATTTTTTTTTACTTTTTTCACTAGATCTCCGAAACAGTTAGACCTGCCTTCATGAAAATTTGATCAATTCCTCATCTTGTAATAAGGCGCTAATTCCTCAATACAAGTAAAATGTTTTTTGAATTATTAAAATAGGACGCTCCGTTCTCTTAAAAACCGAGTTACCATTTTTGGCACTTTTTGCCCCGTATGTTCTTAATGGCTAGACCTGCCTTCGCCAAAAACTAATTAGCACGGCTTCTTATCAATACGAATCGAATGTTTTTTGAATTATTCAAAAATCGCTTCATCCGTGTTCCCGAAATCGTCGACGAAAATTTGTATCCGCACACAAATACATACACGCATACACGCACACACGCACACACACATACACACACACATATACATCCATTTTTTCTATGGTATGCCATTTTTCTAAGGTATGACAAAATGTTCAGAAGATTTTGAAACGTAAAGATATATAAAAAGATTCGTTTTCGATTTTTTTGCGATTACTATAACTTACGCTACGGGAAGTTAATTAATAATAATTGATTTCTTTTGGAGCATAACCAAGATCAATAGATAAATTATAGTAGATTATTCATTAATAATTATTATCAGAAAATATTTTATGTTTGTATAAAATTGAAGCCAGCTATGCAGTGGTGTACCTAGGGGGGGGCGGTGGGGGCGGTCCGCCCCGGGCGGCACTTATTTTGGGGCGGCATTTTTTAGTTTATTTATACATAGTTGTAAAAAGCAACTTATTCATTTTATATTTATTAACTTCCGTAGGTTAAGTTATAGTAATGGACCGACAATCGTAAATGAAATTTTTTACATTTCTTCACGTTTTGAAGGTTTCTGAACATTTTGGCATACCTCAGAAAAAATGGAAGTGTGTGTGTTTTGTGTGTCCGCATTTTTTTGTTCACGTTTTCGGGCGCCCCGATCAACCGATTTGATGGTACAGAAATTAGAAATCGAGTTTTTGAAAGAATGAAACATCCGATTTGATTGATGCAGAAAACTTCAATTTGTAATGATGAGGAGAAGTGGTGATTAGTTTTTCGCAAAGGCAGAGATACCAAGCAAAATGTGCAAAAAATATCTGTTTCTGAGAGAACTAAGCATCCGATTTGAATGATTCAAAAAACTTTCTACGTGGATTTTATTTTGAATTCTACCTAAAGTTCAAATGCTCACTTATATACTTGAAATAAATAATTTTAACTTTGTAATTCAGTTTATATACTTCTTATAAATATTAGACAATGCCCTTTATTTCAAATTTGATTGATTGAGTTTTGTTTATTTAATTTTCTGTAAGCATATATAAGTTACAGTATTTATAATTATATATTTGAAAATATTTAATTTTCCTCGAATATATCATTACAGTACGGGAATTTCCAGCAATTTGCCTTAACTTACAATGCCATACACCACTAGTTAACTTCCCCAAGGAGAAGTTTATGTTTTCATCAAAAAATCCGAATCGCTAATTTTATGTTTTCTCGACGTTTCAAGCCATTCTGAATCGAATGAGCCCAAATTTGGAAAAAGTATGTGTGTGTATGTGAACAGATTTTTTGTCGTAAATTGTCGTTTTTTCAAAAACGGCTAGACCGATTTCAAAAATTTAAAAGCCACTCGATGTATCTCGATGAAGACTATTATTTGTCAGTTTGAGTTTGAGTTTGACCGTCAGTGCGACGATCGGCCAAGCTGTTTCTTTATAAATCGCAGAAAAGTGAAAAATTTTTCGTCTACGTTTTAGCCTGCAATTCTGAATTGATTTTGAAAATTCAAAAACCGTTCGATAGACATTAGTTGGGAATCGTGCTGATTAGTTTTTAGTAGAGATCGGCCGGGCCGTTTTCTTAATAAAGTTTAAAAAAAAAAATTCGACGATTCTTATGATTATTTTTTTGACGGTAGATACCATAGTCTTCTAGATCAGGGCTTCTTAAACTCTTTTATATAGCGACCCCCTTCAAGTTTAGGAAATTTTAAACGACCCCCTCCTCCAAATAATAAAATATATATTAACTGTTATCGCACTATTTTACAATGTATATTAGGTTGTCAAATATCTCCCTTCCGCTTTTTTGCTCTTGGTTTATAATACAAAAAGGCGGAAGGGAGATATTTGACAACCTTATATAAAATAAGGATTAAAGAATATGTACCCATTCATGTTATATATAATTGGAAACGTTGACATAAAACTATATATATATATATATATATATATATATTTCGTGAGAAAAATGAAGAAATATTTTGTTTGTTTTATATTTGAAAAGGAAACATTTGATTTTATTATACAACAGTAATGAATTTATTTCGATTACAAAAATGAAGTGTTTTTTAGTTGAACTTCTCTAAGTAAATGAAAGTGAATCCGCAAATTATCCATTTCATTGAAGTGCTCTTTGGTAAATCACATTTTTTTGTTTTTTGGTCTGACGTTAATACAAACAAAGCGGATGGTTTTCCAACTCGTGAACAGGCAACGTATAACTGCCCATGTGAAAAACAATGATTTTCTAAATAATCTATTTGAAATTTATCCCGCAAACACTAAGCGATTGGCCTTGCGACTTGTTATTGCAAATGCAAGGTAAACTGGAAATTGCAATCGTTTGAAGTCAAACGGAAGACAAGTCGGAATCATTGGTATCACAAAATCGCCAGCAATTTTGGATTGAATGGTGAAATTCAGTGCGCGTACATCATTATTCTTTGCGGCAAGAATTGCTCGTTGACTTAACCAAGCATAATTCTGATAATTCTCACTAATGTCATTACTCGAATTTTTAATTACGGTGCGTGAAGTTCCAGCAATTTGCATTAGGGCACGATGCCATGCACCACTAATTTTCTTAGCTATAAACCTTGCCCGAGACCTTTCCAACGAATGCAAAATTGTCGAAATCGGTTTGTGCGAGAAAGGAAAACCCGACTTATTTTCATATATATAGAAAATATTCAATAGAAAAAATAAACTTTTGTAACAAATTCTTTATAAGAAAACATAAAACTATATCTACATATTCAATAAAAAAATAAAATTTTGTAACATTTTTTTTAATGAAAACCTATTATTAACATCAAACAATATTAATGTGATGAATGTGATTGTTTATTTTTACACAAATAATTAAATCTAAGCTCAATTTGTTAGTGCAGATCGTAATAAATTTTCAACGTTTATTAAAATTGAACGGTATTTTGATTTTATGTAAGTTAATGTAGAAGAGGCTGATTCACATAAATATGTTGCACAAAATGGCAATAATATTCTGATTTGATTTCAATCCAAAATTCATGCACAGACACTTGAAAAAATCTGAGTTGCAAGGTAGTATCACTTGTTATATCGGTAAATTCCTCTTGTGCTTTTAAATTTGAAAAATTAATTTCTTCCATTTCAATTGAAAATGGATTGCAAATCTTATGTTGTGTATCGATATCATTGAGAAAATACCTATGGATGTAAACTTCTATATTCTTCAAATGATTAACTATAATTTTTGTTATAGGAGTATCTTTTTTTGAAATATTGTTACTAATTATATACTCGTCAGTAAATGAAAACATTTCGAGCGATCCACTTTCCATTCTGTTTTTCCATATAAGAATTATTTTAACAAAGGCCTTAAGTTTATTTTTTAACATAAACATATTAACGCAGAATCCCTGCATTGATAAATTCATATCATTGATTTTATCAAAAATATTGGCCAAATAGCATAGCTTGAGAAGCCATAAGTTATCGTGAAAATAGTCGGCCTAATAATACTAATTTTAAAATTTTGTTTATAATGATTGAAAAGTATCAGATCTTTGCGACCCCTTTTCAGTAGTCTCGCGACCCCCCTGGGGGTCGAGACCCCCACTTTAAGAAGCCCTGTTCTAGATCATACTAAAATATTACGGTCCTACGACAACTGGTTTAGCTTTAAAAATTCGTCAAAGATTGCAAAAATTAGTATGGTCTTTTTGGCCTTTGTCAAAATTAGACCTTTGTTTCTCAAAAACGCCTGAACCGATTTCAGAAATTTAAAAACTATTTGATGTATCTCGATGAGGCATATCGTTTCTTTGTGCGACGATCGTCCGAGCCGTTTCTTTGTAATTTGGAAAGAAGTGTTAAACCTTTCGTCCACATTTAAGCTCATACTACCGAATCGATTTTAAAAAATTAAAAACTGTTTTAAAGATATTATTTGGGATTGATACTGATCAGTTTTAGGTGAAAATCTACCAAGCCGTTTTCTTGTAATTAACTGTTGAAAAAAAATTTAAGCCGATATTTATGAAACTTTCTTTGGCGATGTACATCATTGCCTTATAGAACTCACTGAATTATTACGGCCTTACGACAAGTAGTTTAATTTTAAAAATTTATCAAAGTTAGAGAAAATGTTTTTTTGACGTTTGTTAAAAATAAAATTAGATGATTTAGTTGGTATAACGATAGTGTACTTGGTCTTGAACATAGTAAACCATTAA